GTATAATCCCACTAGTGGGGTCTGGGGAGGGTAGTGTGTACGCAGACCTTACCCCTACCATGAGGTAGAGAGGTTGTTTCCAATATACCCTCGGCATCCTTCCCTCTAAGAACTCCCACCTTGCTCGTGGGGTGACTCGAACTCACAACCTATTGGTTGGAAGTGGAGGTTGCTTACCATCAGAGCAACCCCTCTTGTTTAAATTTTCTCATGGAATTAATTTCAATAAATTTTATTAACTGAAACGAATTATTTGTGACTAGATTCGAGGCATTCGGAGGCCGATTTGCGAGGCAAAGACATAGCAAAGTATAGAATTTCATGGCTTGAGGTAAGTAACAGTTATAAATCTGGTCGTGAGGGTATGAAAACCCGGATTTTGGATCATGTGATTATTTTGGAGGTGACGCACATGCTAGGTGATAGCGTGTGGGCGTGCACCGAGGAGATTGTGACTTGGTCCGTCCTGTGAAACTATAAATTTGAATAATTTGTTGTTAGCTATATGCTCTCTATGTGTTAAAGAAATTTGACTGTAAATCATGTTAAAAATCATGCTTGGACTATGTGATAGTACTGTTGGGACCCACAGAGGTCACGTACTTGTTGAATTATTTGCTAATTGTTGTATTGTACTCAGTCATGATTTTACTTGCGTATCATACCTCAGTCTTTCTTGATATTTTTTGATACTCTATGTTATCTTTGTTTGGGCTGATCTTTGTGATTTTCGAGAGCCCGAGATACTAGAGAAGCTGAGGACTGAGTAAGGCCGAGGGCCTGTCGGTGAGGTAATGATACTATGGCACGTGAGTTGTCCGTGCAGCACGTGAGTTGTCCGTGCGGATTATGGAGCTTGGGCTGTAGGAGCTCCTCCGGAGTCTGTACACCCCTAGTGAGCGCGGGTACCCATTGAGTGTGAGTGCTGAGGGCTGAGAGTCGAGTGGTTGAGTTGTTGTGATGAGTGGAGTGACTGTTGCCCTGAGAGGCTGTACTTGCTTTGCGTTTGTTTCTGCACTTAGTTGCTATTTGTCATTGTTGTGAAATTCTCTAAAAGAATTTAAATCCGGATTACATGAACTTGAACTGTATAAAACTAATTTGACTTAAACTTAGGGAATCAAAAGCATGTATACTCTCTGCTGGAATTACTGAAAATGAACTATAACTGCATAGCTTGTCACTATCTTTAGTTCCTTATTTATTATTGTTACTTGATGAGTTGGTTGTACTCATACTGTACCCTGCACTTCGTGTGCAGATCCAGGTGTTCCCGGACCTAGCGGGTGTTGATTCTCTCGCACAGTTGATTTTTCGGAGATTTAGAGATAGCTCCCGTGTTTCGCAGACCTTGTCTCTCCTTCCCTATCTCCTTGTTTACTGTATTTGGTCTTAGACTATTATAGACCCTATTTTCCATACTTATATTCATACTAGATGCTCATGTACTCAGTGACACTGGGTTTTGGGAGTGTTTATATATGTAATTATGAGTTTTCTTCCGCTGAATTTAGATATTATGTTTTCAAACTTCAAAGACATGGTGGTTTATTGAGATTGTCGGCTTGCCTAGTATTGGTATAGGCTCCATCGCGACATGTGAGATTTTAGGTCGTGATAAGTTGCTATCAGAGCCTAGGTTACATAGGTCTCACGAGTCATGAGCAGGTTTAGTAGGGTCTTGTGGATCGGTACAAAGACGCCTGTACTTATCTTTGCGAGGCTGCCGAACCCTTAGGAAAATTTCACTTTCTTGTATTCTATCGTGCAGAATTGATTCAGCTTGAAACATAACTTTTTGAATCACTTCCACGCATTGCGTATGTGCATATGAGCGCTCGGTATCAGTTGTGCATCTCCGGCTTGTGATTCTATGAACGAGGTTCAAGATGTGTATTCTGTATTTTGGTGATGGGCCAGTCTGGAGGACTTGAGGCCAGGTTTAGACCGCAGCTTAGGCTCGGTAGCTTCAGTTGTAACCTGTACATTTGGACTCATATGTCCGGTAATGTCCCTAAGAGTGGAATTTGTGGCTCAATAAGCGGTGGAATGGCTTTGTGATGAGTATGATGTAACTGCGGGATGTGTTAAGACGATTTGAATGTGACGAGAAGTGTTTCCTTGAAATGTAAAGGAAGGCCATTGGGTACTTGATTTTCATTTTGATGTGATGTACGGTCTCGAGGGTGAATGTTTTGAAGGATCTTTCACGTTGTTAAATTTTGGGACAAATTAAATTCTCATGTCTTGTCAATGAATTTGGACTCAAGAAGAGTAAGTGATTGTGTAGTAATTGTGGTTACGAATAGGTATTTCTGATGTTGATGGCTCGAGAAAGATGATCTTCTAAGAGACTTAGAGTCGGTAACATTTTATTGGTTCTGGTGCGACAGAGATGCATTTCGATTTGATGCAACAGTTGGGCAGCAAAATATGAGGGAATACATGACGGGAAGTGTTTCATGGTGGTTGAAGTACTAGCAGGTCAAGTAGGAGAAGTAGAGGTTGAGAAGTTTCTTAAAGGAGATGAATTAACCGAAGTAAGAGTGGCAGATTAGCATATGAATTCAATGGTAGGGTAGTCGTGCGCCTTGAGAAAGTGTAGAACGGTTTGGAATCGTGATAAAATGTGATTTGTCCTGCAGACTTTATCTGGAGTGATGGTTACTGTATGAAGAAAGATTGAATATGGCAGAAAGGAGTTTGTTTGAAATGAAGAGGGATGTGAAGATCTGATTATCGTTTTAGGTGAAATATGACTTGAGTCTGGAAGATATTGTTGAACTTTCAGTTGATGTCAATAGGGAAAGTGCAGACTTATACAAATGGTGGGCGAGCATGAGCTTAGGAGAATTTACTGATTATGTAGTCGTTGCACCCAGTGCAGCGTCGTTGGAAGATGTCTGTAAGGAATTCCACAGGTGGGTTATCTCCTGTGAGCAGTTAGCAGTGGCATAATGTTGATGAAGCTTTTATGAGGAATATTACTTGCTACCCATTATCCATTTTTGACGGATTGGAGCTCGGGAAGAGGCAATGTTTGGGAGATTTTCAAAGGAAACAACGGGGTAAGTGTTCTTAACTCAATATTGGTTAAATTACCCAAATCCATGATTATTTTTATCATTTAATGGGTGAATTAAGTTGGAAAAATTTAGAAAACCCTCTTGTTTTAAATTGAAGATTTGAGGGTCGAGTTGAGGTCGGATTTTGGTAAAATTAGTATGGTTAGACTCGTGGTTGGATGGGCTTTCAGATTTTGTAACTTTTGTCGGGTTCTGAGACGTGATCCCCACGGGCGATTTTTGAGCTAAAGTTCGGATTTTATTTATGGCAAATTAGTATTTTCTCATGGAATTAATTCCAATAAATTTTATTAACTAAAACGAATTATTTGTGACTAGATTCGAGGCATTCAGAGGCCGATTTGCGAGGGAAAGGCATAGCAGAATAAAGAATTTCACGGCTTGAGGTAAGTAATAGTTATAAATCTGGTCCTGAGGGTATGAAACCCTGAATTTTGTATCATGTGATTGTTTTGGAGGTTACGCACATGCTAGGTGAAGGGCGTGTGGGCGTGCACCGAGGGAATTGTGACTTGGTCCGTCCCGTAAAACTGTAAAGTTGAATAATTTATTGTCAGCTATATGCTTTCTTTGTGTTGAAGAAATTTGACTGTAAATCATGTTAGAAATCATGCTTAGACTATGTGATAGTACTGCTGGGACCCACCGAGGTCACATACTTGTTGAATTATTTGCTAATTGTTGTATTGTACTCAGTCATGATTTCACTTGCGTATCATACCTCAGTCTTTCTTGATATTTGTTGATACACTATGTTATTTTTGTTTGGCCTGATCTTTGTGATTTTCGAGAGCCCGAGAGACTAGAGAGGTTGAGGGCTGAGTAAGACCGAGGGCTTATCGGTGAGGTAAGGATACTATGGCACGTGAGTTGTCCGTGCATGATATTATAGCACGTGAGCTGTCCGTGCAGCACGTGAGTTGTCCGTGCGGATTATGGCGCTTGGGCTGTAGGTGCCATTCCGCAGTCTGTACACCCCCAGTGAGCGCGGGTACCCATTGAGTGTGAGTGCTGAGGGCTGAGAGCCGAGTGGTTGAGTTGTTGTGATGAGTGGAGTCACTATTACCCTGAGATGCTGCACTTGCTTTGCGTTTGTTATTGCACTTAGTTGCTATTTGTCATTGTTGTGAAATTCTCTGAAAGAATTTAAATCCGGATTACGTGAACTTGAACTGTATAAAACTAATTTGACTTAAACTTAGGGAATCGAAAGCATGTCTACTCTCTGCTAGAAATACTGAAAATAAACTACAACTGTGTAGCTCGTCACTATCTTTAGTTCCTTATTTATTATTGTTACTTGCTGAGTTGGTTGTACTCATACTACACCCTGCACTGCGTGTGCAGATACAGGTATTCCCGGACATAGCGGGTGTTGATTCTCTCGCAGAGTTGATTTTCTGGAGATTCAGAGATAGCTGCCGTATTTTGCAGACCTTGTCTCTCCTTCCCTATCTCCTTGTTTACTGTATTTGGTCTTAGACTAACCGTATTTTTCAGACTTGTATTCATATTAGATGCTCATGTATTCAGTGACACCGGGTTTTGGGAGTGTTTATATATGTAATTGTGAGTTTTCTTCCGCTGAATTTAGATATTATGTTTTCAAACATAAAAGACATAGTGGTATTATTTAGATTGTCGGCTTGCCTAGTATTGAGATAGGCACCATCACGACAGGTGAGATTTCGGGTCATGACACTTATATCCCCTATATTATGAAAATCCTACGGTTACACTTCTTTTTTTTTGGTTAAACTGAATTTTTTTATTTAACCAAGTGTAAATATGTACAACCACACGCTCATTGGACTCTAGAGTCAAGTCTCATAAAAATAACCTATCCTTCGTAACACTTAAGTTCCACAGCCGGAGCTCAGACTATATGCTAACATGGATATCTATTTATCCTATCTAGTATTGCCCTCCATTTACAGTGTCTTTCTCCCATAATGTGCAATTTAAGACAATTTCTCTAACTCTATCCCTATTCTCTTTCCTTGTATTTTGAAATCTTCTAAGGTTCCTTTCCGTCCATATATGGTAGACTGCTGCTGCGAATGCACTCCCCAATATTTTCCATTGTATGTTCCTGCTCCTTATTTTTGTAGACAGCCATTCGACTTCTTCCTGCCACCTGCCTATTTGTCTATCAGTAACAAACAAGCTTAGCAGATTCTGCCATATAAACTTCGAGTATGGGCACTCAAAGAACAAATGATCATGTGTTTCCTCTTCATCAGTGGTACATAGGACACAAGACTTGGGCACTAGTATCCCCCATTTGGTTAATCTATCCACTGTTGCTAATCTTTGGTGAATTGCCATCCACAAGGCGAATTGATGTCGAGGCAGAATGCCTTGTGTTATGAATAATGCCTTCCATAAAACCTTTGGAAACTGTGGTTGGATTGAAGTATATACTTTACTGATATTGTATTTCCCCTGAGTAACATAAGTCTTCAGTTCTTGGATTCCAGCAACTAACCATTTTCTAGCCTCGAAAATCTTCCTCACCAACCAGCTATCATGTTTAGGTGTATCCATGGTCTCTAAGTCATTCTTCTTTATATATTGATTGTGGATCCACCTGACCTAGAGTTTATCTTTCTTTTGTGCGAGTGCCCACAGAAGTTTGCCTATTGCTGCTCTATTCCATATAATAAAATTGATGATGTTCAGCCCTTCTGCTGCTTTTGGCCTACATATGGTGTCCCATGCAATAGGAGCTTTCTTACCTTCAGTACCTCCATGCCAAAGAAAGTTCATGCATATTCCTGTAACCATGTCGTGCATCTTCTTTGGGAGAAGAAATACATGTGCCCAATAAGTTTGCATTTCAAGCAACACAATTTTAATTAGTTGGACTCTCCCTGCATTTGATAAGAATCTAGCAGTCCAACATCTCACTCTCTCTGCAATTCTGTCCACCAATGGCATACGCTGACTGATAGTGAGCTTCTTTGAGGACAATGGCACACCTAAGTATTTGAATGGCAGGGTTCCAGTGGTGAAATGCAATTCCTCCAGTATTTCATCCTTATATTGAGTCGGTACACCTATTACATACAGTGAGATTTTCTCCATATTTGCTTGCAATCCTGAGACAACAGAAAATTGTTCAAATTGTTTCATCATGAGATTAATAGACACCTTGTCTGCTCGACAACACATCAACAAGTCGCCAGCAAAGAAAATATGTACCACTCCCAACTTTTCCCATTTAGGATGATAGTTGATGTCTGGATTTGATCTAAGCTATTTCAACGATCTGTTCAAATATTCCATCACCAATACAAAGAGGTAAGGTGACATGGGATCTCCTTGACTCAACCCTTTTCTTGCTTGAAACATAGATGTTAATTCTTCATTAATCAGTAGAGCATAAGTAACTGTGCGTACACATTCTATAATGAGATTAACCATTTTATATGGGATCCCAAGTTCCAGCATAAGATCTCTCAAGAAGCTCCATTCAACTGAATCATAGGCCTTTCTAATGTCCACCTTAATCGTACATCTTGGTGATACTGTTTTCTATGTATACCCTTTGATCAGTGCATGAGCTAGTATTACATTATCCAAAATGTTTCTCCCTTCTATAAATGCAGACTGGGAAGGCCCCACCAGGTAATCCACAACCATTTTCAGCCTAGCAGTAAGTATCTTAGCTATAATTTTGTACATTGTAGAGCAGCAAGCAATAGGTCTGAACTCTTTTACATTATTTGGATTTGCCACCTTAGGTATGAGCGTGACAGTGGTACAGTTGATCTCTCTTAGTAGTTTCCCTGTTTCAAAGAATTGCATTACTGCTTTTATAACATCTTCACCAATCACTTGCCAGTTTTCTTTAAAAAATTCAGTTGGATAACCATCCATCCCAGGTGCTTTATCAATTGGCAAGTCTTGCACAGCCTTTATAATCTCCTCTCTTGTTACATACACTAGCATTTGTTGCTGCTGTGCAAGTGATAAGCAAGGGCCATCCTGACTATGTTAATGTCAATTCCAGGCATTACTGGGGCAGCCTCTCCTAACAGCTTCTTGAAAAATTACATAAACTCCTGTTGAATCTGTACAGGCTCAGTTAATCTCACATTCTGTTCTGTACAAATAGAGGTGACTTTATTTCTTGCTTGTCTAGCCTTCAGTTATGCATGAAAGTATTTAGTATTAGAGTCTCCATGAGTAATCCAGATAGCCCTCGACTTCTGCCTTAGGATCTTTTCATGGATAGCATCCCATTTCTCAATTAGCAGCAAATTCTTCTTCTCTTGCTTAATCAGTTGTGAGTTTATGTGATCATCATTCAACTCCTGCTGTATAACCTTTAGGTCCTCTCTCAATTGTTTGAGCTTCACCTCCACTGATGAGTATTTCCTTTGTAGCTTCCTACAAATGGTGTACATAGTGTGCCCTTGTATGGCTTGACCCCATAGATGTTTCACTACTTCCTTATACTCCTCTTGTTGCAACAGGACATTCAATAATCTGTATGGCTTCTTAACAAGCACCCTATATATTTCAGTGTTTAATAGAATAGGTGTGTGGTCAAAGCATCCAGGCATTAGATAGATTGCTTCAACTCCTGCATAAGCCCAGAACCATTCAGCATTTCCAAACACCCAGTCTATATGACTGTATATCCTATCTTCAGCCCTCCACTTATTACTCCATGAAAATTGAGCCCCTTTCTTGTTTATTAGCCCTACACCAATGTCACTGATGCATTGCTTGAAATCAACTACTTCATTTTGGTGCACAGGTGCCCCATTTAGTCTGTCCTCCACAGATAAGACACTATTAAAGTCCCCCATGATCAACCAAGGTCCTCTAATTGTTGTGTTGATGTTCCTCAATTGATCCTACAAAGGTCTTCTATCAACTATAGTATGTAGCTCATACACAATAGTTATATAGCTCTGGAATACAGAGTTTCTATCTTGTATATGGCAGTGAATCAGTTGTGAAGATAGCTTCAACACTTCCTCTGAGGTATATCCATAACTAAATGTATGTTAAAATATACTTATTCAAAAAATTAAATTTTTAAATAAAAAGTTCTACATATTATTTTTATAAATTTAATAGAGAAGATAAATATTTTTGTTGAAATTTTTTATTCACGCGTTTGATTAAATATAAATTGCTTAATAAGATATGCAACTATTAGTGAAGACTTTCTTAAATTTTAAACATGTAAGTTATCTGTATTTTTAATTAATTATAAAATTCTTATTACATATGAATAATTCAATTTTATTTTAGTTTGTTTATTTATTGAACCGCTGAAAAATTATCTTAAATTTGTTGTATGCTATTTTATTTGTGTAGGATTTTCATTATATGAGAGGCTTACATATGTTTAGAAGAAAAAAAAAGAATAGTATCATTATAGTTAAAGACTTTGGGAAGATAAAACTATTTTGTCAAATATATAACAATTCTAGTTATCTAATTAAGTATTTTTGGTTCATTTCATGTTTGAGAGTTAAGAAAGATGCATATTTCATAAAATAACTGCATGAATAAAGATTTACAACAAAAATGTTTATCCTCTTTTTAAAATTTTATAAAAATAACTACATGAATAATGCTATAATTGTAATTTATTATTTAAATAGTTTTATTTTAATAAACGTAGTTATACATAAACCTCATAGAGGGTGTAAGTGTAAGATTTTTATAATATAGGGGAAGTAAGTTTGATTTTAAAATACAACAAATGTATCTAAAAATTGATTGATATTATAATGATTAAACCTAAAAATTAAAATGAATAATAAAGTTAGCGATTGAAGTTTCGTTTCTAGATCTTCTGCTATATGTTAGTACAAAAACTAGCAACAAATTTCATTTTTCGTCACAAACCCGTCACTATTTTACAATACTTTTTTTCAGTTTAATTTTTATTCTGTTTAAATTCTATTTTAAGATTGAAGGTGTTTTTCATTTTATTCTTTCTTATTTAGAAGTTAATTAATTCTTCAAGTTATATACATTGTTGTTTTTCCAAATTTCTATATGAATATACTTTTTCATAACCGCATATAATTTTTAGACTAACTCTTGTCATGACTTTCATAGTCGAAATAAAAGAATTCTTCTACAAAAATATTTGCAGCTAATTTATTATAATTAACATATTATTACTGCAATAATAACCTCAAATGTATGACAATATATATAGTTATCGTCAATTATGAAAGGTAATTGTCTACAATTCATTTTGTCATACAAATAATTGGAACTATTAAGCTAACTATTTGTATCGTTTTTTTTTAACTTGAAGCAAAAATATCAATTAACTACAAGATTGAGTTTTAACTGATTTAATGTGACTAAAATATTATTATTGCTACACAAAGCTTCGAGTCGTTGCAAAAACTTATGAATAGCTATAAACTTTCACCACAACAATAAATATGTGGCTATATCATTTATGACAAATAATTGTAGTTACTAAGCCGACTATTGACATGATTTATTTAAAAATTGATGCAAAATTGTTTGCTCAACTACAATATTTTAATTTAAATAATTTATTGTGACTAAAAAAATTATTTTGCTACAGTAAGTTTCAGCATGTGGCAAAAACTATTGATTAGCTATGAAAGTTTATATTTGTGGCTATATTATTTTGTCATGACAAATAATCATAGCTATTAAGCCAACTATTGCCACAATATTTTATAACTTGAAGCAAAAATATTTATTTAGCTACAACAATTTGTTTCAAAAGATTTATTGTGGCCAAAAGTATACTATTGCTACGGTAAATTTTAACCCGTGGTAAAAACTTATGATTAGCTATGAAATTTTACTGTAGCAATAAGTTTGTAGCTGTTTAGGTAGTTATTGCCACGAAAATTAGTAATTATAGCAAAAATAATGAATTAGCTTTGTAAATTTAGTTTTGTAGCTAAGAAATTTTAAGAATTTATAGATAGCCACGAAATTCTAATTTTTTGGCTATTATTGAGTAATAGCTACAAAATTTAGATTTGTAGCTAAGGGTGGCAAGTGGGCCGGCCCGGGACCGCGGGCCAAATGGGCCAGGACTTGTAGGACCGGTATTCGTGGGCCTGGTTTGGGCTTCTAGGCCGGTTCGACAATTGGGACCGCTGGGACCGGGACCGTTTGGGACCGGGATCGGACCGGACCGGTCCCTCGCGGGCCAAACGGTCCCAACGGTCAAATTTAAAAAAAAAAATTTTATTTAAAATCTAGCCGTTGGGGGCTGTCACAAAATAGTCGTTGGCTATTTAAGAAATAGCCATTTAATCCCCCCAACTTTGTTTTAACCCCAAACTTTTTATAATTACATTGTTTCCCTATTTTCAACTATAAATACCCCCTCATTCTTTTATTTTTCTTACAAAATCATCAATCTATTACAATCTCTCTCTAATTTTCTTCTATAATTGCTACTATTGCTTACTTTATTGTTATAATTTGTGAAAAAATTGTGAAATTGGTGAATTGAAGTCTTCAAGTCTTCAACGATAATCAATTTTCAATAAGTTGTTCGTCAATTCGTTAAA